CATACGATCATGTACTGAAACGAAAAGCATTGTAATGTTCCCTTTACGAAACCTTCGCGTTTAATATTGAACTCATTTCCTCAAACTATTTTCATCTGTTTAAGATGAGGTATTAATAGTTTAACGGAACTGACAAGTTTCTGGATTGTTATTTCAATTATGTTTACCACAAGAATGGCTGATCTGCTCTCTTCTCGACAGAGCGTATTTCAAAATTAATTTCTGAATTTCCCATTTATTTTTACTGTCCCTCACCCCTCCTACCATCTTCTCATTTCCCTGGATTCTGTCGAGAGCTGTCATCGTCCTTCTCTTACGCTGAGGTTGATGAAGGACGGAATGGGTGAAGTTTAGAGAACGGGGAATCCACTCTATAGGATTTTACAATCTTTTTTCTCTCTCTGCTTCATAACTTGCAAACACATCCTTCCGTCTGACAAGCGGGTTATAACCGCTTCTCGCAGCTCTACACTTCTCCGTCCCCGCCTCACCGTTTTAATTTACGTTCTTGCAAGTCTCTTCGCTGGCGCTCGCCACCCCCGCCTGTCCTGCCGCAGGGCGGCGCGACGCAATGCATTTTAATGGAATGTTGTTTCCCAGCTTCAATGGGAAGGAAAGTTAAAAGTGTCATTTTCTTCACAAAATATTACGACTAACTTTGGGTTTCTTAATACTCTTATTGGATAATGTCATCAAATACAAGCCTAAATAAATAAGTTTAAAACGGATACATCCAAAATATCACACGGAGCTGTAAATGGCAATAAACAATCATCAGATATTTCAGGAGGCAATTTTCAACTTTTAGAAACGGGCAAGAGTTAAAAGTTTAAGACACACTAATGAAAATAATAATACAAATAATAAGCTTATAGACAATTAGGAGGAGATGATCGTCATTGATTAGACCTACAGTTTTACTTGAAGAATGTGAACAAACTACTGATACAAGTTTTTCAAAAGATTTATAATTATTTGTAAAAGTACATGCTCAAAAAAAAGCAAAATCTCTGAGGTCGACCTCTTTATTTCTTGCAGAAAAAATATGTACGGCAACTGTTAGACT